AGCAGCGGAGTCCCGCGCCTCCCCGGCTTTGCCAGAGCAAAGCCTCAGAGTCGCGGGACCCCCTCGCCTCCCCAGCTTTGCTCCAGGTTTCCCTGGTCTGCTGAAGACGGTCCCCAGCAGACCAGAGGCACTGGGAGCAGAGCGGCAGCGGCGGCGGAGTCCCGCACCTCCCCGGCTTTGCCAGAGCAAAGCCTCAGAGGCGCGGAACCCCTCCGCCTCCCCGGCTTTGCTCCAGGTGTCCCTGGTCTGCTGGAGACGGTCCCCAGCAGACCAGGGGCACCCGGAGCAGCTTTTCTCGCCCTGGAGGTCGAGGTGGCGGGACCGCTGCGCTCTGGGCTCGGGGACTGCCTGTACACAGATCTGAGTATCAGTGAACTTTGAAAGGCATGTTATCACTTCATTTGGCCCAAAGTTTATTCTGGGATTTTCAAAGGCGACAAAAGAAATTTAGGTTCCCATATCCTACTGCATTTCAATAGAAGTTGGGTTCCCCTCTAACTCCCTGATGTTCCTTTGAAAATCCCAGCTTTACAAGACTTATAACCAACAGAACACTCTCATTAATTTAAAAAAAATAAGGATTTTGTAAAGAAAACTGGAACAGTTCCCAGCAGCGCTTGCAATTCGAAGACTGTAACATTGTTTCACATATAAAGAAAAAAGTAAAAATTACTGGAAACTGATTAAACAAAAATAAAATTAGGTACAAGCAAGATGTCTTCTTTAGTTTTCTTTAGACTGAAACACAGCAAACCAAGAGTATCTTACCTCAGTTAGATAAAACTCAACACACTACATAGCTTATTTCAGCATAATTTACCAAAAGACAATTCCTTTGGCTCAGCTGTTAATCCTGGAAGTGTATTTGTCTCAAACCCCTTGTTTGATTCTTTCACTTTTCTAGGATAATGAGGAATTACTTAATTTCCCCTGTCTTGGACTCCTCTGCATATCCCATCATTAAGCACATATAGCTGTGGCCTTTCATAAAGAGCAAGACTAACATTTCCTTGTCAATTCTTATAGACACCTTAATTATGTATTTGCATACTTAGGTATATTTTTTGGGAGAGGCTGGTAGAAACTTAACTTGGAATTTCTAAAGTAATGACAGTTTGTAAGGAAAACAGTGTTTTCAGGGATTGGCTTTATTTTGGCCAAAGTGATACTTTATCAGCCTTATTTTTCCAGGTTTGCAAGCAGAAACTATTTTTAGCCTCATATGCTCATGCCCTCTATTATAGTTCTGTTTAGGGTTCTGAACTACATGATCGCAGCTAAGTACTTTTCAGCTCTTCTACCATCATTAATCTAGGATCCTTATTGCAGTTCTGGTGGTAGTAGACTTGATAGTGTAGACAGTTTACAGGTGTTTTCTATACTGTTCCATCTAACCTTGATGGACAACAGGATGGTAAAAACACTGGCAGCTGATTTACATTAGCATTTCCACCTTTGCTGTTACCTGTGCTAGATCAGTAATAGACATGTCAATGTGGACAAGTACTTAGTAACTTGATTTTAGTGGTAGGGTGCCGATGAGGAAACAAAGGGCAAAAAATCTTCACAAAAATCAACAAACATGGTCTCTCATGGTTCAGTGCTATGACTCCATTCATTTGAGAAACAAATTATTACAGAAACAAATTATGAAATGATGAGAGTTATATATATTAGAATGTGTTTGGGTTTTTGCAGCTGATACATTGTTATGATAATGACATTAGTGTTCTGTGTTCAATTGCAGGGCAAATCCAGTTGGATAGTAAGCCTGCTTTAAAGATCAAAGGTACAGTAAAGTGTATTACTTTCATAAAATGGCTCTTTTAAAAAGAGTATTGTGAGTGCTCACACTGTTGGTAATCTGGATTGTGAGAGTTCTTCAAATCAATGGACACACTAATATATAGATGGAAGAAGATTAGAATGAGACAGAGTCGACAGCTTTATCTTTAATATCTGTGGAATAGTAGCTCCAGCTCTGTATTCCTTGTGTGCTCAATAGTAGGGATATAAGAGTTTAATCAGTTAACTGGTTAACCAACAAACTGATGCTTATCAGTTCCTGTTAATGATTAAACTCTGCCAGGGAGCAGAAGGCCGGCAGCTGGGAGTTAGTGAGGCTGGCAGCATTGGGAGCCCATGAGGCTGGCAACCCACAGAGCCCACAAGGCTGAAAGCACCAGCAGCTCACAGAGCTGGTGGCAGATGGGGACCAGCAGCAACCAGTGGGGCAGCTGTCCGTCCATGGAGCCAGTGGGAACCCACACGCAGTGTGAGCTGTGGGGGCCAGTGGCAGGGATCCCGAGGAGCCTGTTGTTGATGAAATTTTGTCAACTGATGAAATTTTGATTGGTTACATGATTACTGTTTTGTAACACTTTTTACATCCCTGCGCTATAGTGTTAATTTCAATGGGAGTTTTGGGTGTACTAATGCCACTGATGTACATATTCTGTGCATTTTAATAAAAGAAAGTGTGTGAGTTGTTCAGTGTTTTGGAATTTCTGCTAGTTGGATGTCCTTATACTTACACCACTACTAAACGGTTGAATAACACAGCTAATCTCCAAGAAAATGCTTAGTGTCAGACTGATTGCATCATGTATTTAATAGAAATGCCACTATCTGCTAGAAATTAAATAGGGTACAGAAAAAGCACAGACAGTTTTTGCAAGATAATACAGATGCTGAGTGTTAAAATCACGAGACAGACAAGTTGTCATCTGTACATGCAGTGTCCATGATTGCAGACATACAATATGTGCGTGTGCATTTTCGCAACTTTAAAAACGTGGTCTTTTGGAGTCAGATGTTAAAGAATGGCCTCCAAAAGTAATCCCATGAAATAGTGCACCCCAATAACAGTTAATACAAATGAAGGAATTTCATACCTATCCTGCCTGTGCATGAATTGTCCTGTTTATGCGACGAGGAGTCCTGTGGCACCTTATAGACTAAGAGATTTATTGGAGCATAAGCTTTCATGGGCAAAGCTTTCATGGGCACTTCGTCAGATGCATGTAGTGGAAATTCCAGAGGCAGGTATAAATATACAGGCATAAGAAGAGTACCAAATCAAGAGTAAGGCTAGAGATAACTAGGTCAATTCAGTCAGGGATGATGAGGCCCACTTCTAGCAGCTGATGTGGAGTTATCTACATCAAGAGAGGAGAAACTGCTGTTGTAGTTGGCTAGCCATTCACAGTTTTTGTTTAAACCTAAGCTGATGGCATCAAATTTGCAGGTGAACTGTAGCTCAGCAGTTTCTCTTTGAAGTCTGTTCTTGAAGTTTTTTTGTTGCAGGATGGCTACCTTTAAATCTGCTACTGTGTGTCCAGGGAGATTGAAGAGTTCTCCTACAGTTTTTATATATTTCCATTCCTGATACCTGATTTAAGTCCATTTATTCTGTTACGTGGGGAATGTCCAGTTTGGCTGATGTATGTAGCAGAGGGGCATTGCTGGCACATGATAGCGTATATTACATTGGTAGATGTGCAGGTGAATGAACCCAGGATGGTGTGGCTGATCTGATTAGGTCCTATGATGGTGCCACTGGTATAGATATGTGGGCAGAGTTGGCATTGAGGTTTGTTGCAGGGATTGGTTCCTGAGTTAGAGTTACTGTGGTGCGGTGTATAGTTGCTGGTGAGAATTTGCTTTAGGTTGGGAGGTTGTCTGTGGGCAAGGACTGGCCTGCCTCCCTTGACCTGTGAAAGTGAGGGATCATTGTCCAGGATGGGTTGTACATCACTGATGATGCGCTGGGAGAGGTTTTAGCTGAGGATTGTAGGTGATGGCCAGTGGTGTTCTGTTGGTTTCTTTGTTGGGCTTGTCTTGTAATAGAAGGCTTCTGGGTACACGTCTGACTCTGTTAATCTGTTTCCTTATTTCCTCGGGTGGGTATAGTAGTTTCATGAATGCTTGGTGAAGATTTTGTAGGTGTTTGTCTCTGTCCGAGGGGTTGGAGCAAATGTGGTTATATCTTAGTGCTTTGCTGTAGACAATGGATCACGTGGTGTGTCCGGGATGGAAGCTGGAGGCATGAAGGTAGGCATAGCGGTCGGTAGGTTTTCGGTATAAGATGGTGCTTATGTGACCATCCCTTTTTTGCACCGTAGTGCCCAGGAAGTGGATCTCTTGTAAACTGGTCCATGCTGAGGTTGATGGTGGGGTGGAAATTGTTGAAATCGCGGTAGAATTCTTCCAGAGTCGTCCAAATGATGAAGACATCATCAACGTAGCATAAGTAGATAAGGGGCAATAGCGGACAAGAGCCGAGGAAGTGTTGTTCCAGGTCAGCCATAAAAATGTTGGCATATTGTGGGGCCATATGAGTGCCCATAGTGGTGCCACTGGTTTGGAGGTATATATTGTCACAAAATCTCCCTGAACGCAGTAGCAGATTTAAAGGTAGCCATCCTGCAACAAAAAACTTCAAGAACAGACTTCAAAGAGAAACTGCTGAGCTACAGTTCAACTGCAAATTTGATACCATCAGCTTAGGATTAAACAAAGACTGTAAATGACTAGCCAACTAAAAAAGCAGTTTCTCTTCTCTTGGTGTTCACACCTCCACATCAGCTAGTAGAAGTGGGCCTCATCCTCCCTGACTGAATTGACCTCATTATCTCTAGCCTTACTCCTGATTGATACGCTTTTTTTATGCCTGTATATTTATACCTGCCTCTGGAATTTCCACCACGTGCATCTGACGAAGTGGGTATTTGCCCACGAAAGCTTGTGGTCCAATAAATCCGTTGGTCTAGAAGGCACCACAGGACTCCTCGTCGCTTTTGCAGATTCAGACTAATACAGTTACCCCTGTCTTGTTTATGTTAACAAGCATTGTTTATAAATGATTGCATGTTCTCTACCTGTGAGTCCTTAAAAAAAGCAGCATTGGAATGGATTTCTGGAACTGTCACTCATACGTGATAGTAATGGAACACTGCAAAAAATGTGCTAGGCTGGCATTCAGGGTGTTAAAGCATGACTCAAGCCCTGATTCAAGTTTAAATGTGAAAATCCCACACTATCTAAGACAGGGGTCACCGACCAGTCGATTGATCAACTGCTCAGTCCTGGGGACTCTACCTGTCTGTCATGATTTCCAGCAGCGTAGAGGGGCTGTCACAAAGCCAGGCTTGCTCTCTGCCTGCGCTGGCCCACACCTCTCCCTGAAATGGTCAGCATAGCCCTGTGAGAGTGGGGAGGGCAGAGATCTCTGTGTGCTGCCCCTCCCTTCAAGGACCATTGGTCAGGAATGGGGAACTGTGGCCAATGGGAACTTAGGGAGCAGTGCTGGCACGGAGGGTCTATCCTAAGGGGCACATTGGCCCCTTTTGGGAATGGTGTGGGTCCAGGGCAGTTAAAAAGCCTTCCTGAGCCTTGCTGCACCGCCAGCCCATCTGCAGTAAGTACCGACTGGTGGGAGGCCATAGCCTATACGCCCTCCTGCACCTCAAGCCCCGAATCCCCTCTCAAAGACAGCATCCTGAGCCCCCTTTTGAATCCCTGCTCTAGCCCTGACCCTCCTTCCAGTCCTTACCCCAAAAGCCCTCCTTTACCCCAACACTGTGCCCCAGCTGGGAACCCCTTCCTGCACCCAGACTCCCTTCCAGAGCTTGCACCTTTCTCCTGCTTCTGCACACCAACAATCTGCCCAAAACTCACCCTGGAGCCCCTTCCCATGTAGAAAACCCTTCGGCCTCAGCCCAGAGTCCATACTCCCATCAGAACCCCAGAGCCCTTCGCCAGCCCGATGAAAACGAAGGAGGATGGGGAGAGCGAGCAACAGGGTGCGGGAGAGGGCGGGGCTAGATTGAGCAGAGTGAGGTTTTGGGGAAAGGGTGGGGCCTTGGAGAAGACAAGATAGTTCCTAAGTTGTCCTTAAATTCAAAAAGCGACCTTGGGTGTAAAAAGGTTGGACACCATTGAACTAAGATATCAAGTATTCTTTTAGTAGCTGGCTTAGTAATCCAAACACCCTTTGGCTCTCTATTTATTATAGGTGAAGACCAAAACATCACAGAAACAGATGCTTTTGGGAGAAGGTAAAGGCCTTTGTTTTAATCCGAATGACTAAAGATGGTAATGGAAAGTGAAACTCAAAATATTTATGACTTGGGTTTTTTATCTCTTTGGTAAGAGTCCACAGAAAGGCCCCCTAATGATACAGAACATGTGGATCAAACTCCTACATATCATTGTAATAGTAGTGTTAATTATTATTTATTATGACACCATCCGGAGGCGCTAGTAAGGACCAGAGCTCTTTGTGCTGGACTGTATACAAATACATACAGTAGGAAGGACACTTTGGGTTAGATGTATGAGAAAACTTAGGCATTAGAACACCAAATTGCTTGGCATTCTGCTGTTGAGTAGAATTCATAGTCCCAAGTCAGGAGCTCAGGTTTCTCGTGCAATGCATAGGGAGAGTTAGATTCCTAAGACGGGATTCACTGGAGCCAGCAAGCTGATTAAGGAGCTGCCTAAGTTAGCCAGGAGTGAAATGCAGAGGAAAGGCTTAGGGTTTAGGGCAGGGATCTGCAAAGGGACTTAGGTGCCCAAGTTTCCAATTTAGGTGCTTCTGTGATCCACAAACTCACCCAAGATGTGGGAGTGAGCTCCTCATCTGATTTTGCGGAAAAACTTGCCAGCTTGTCTACACTGGCTGTTTGAATTTCTGCAAGAACACTGACGATCTCATGTAAGATCGTCAGTGTTCTTGCGGAAATACTGTGCTGCTCCCGTTCAGGAAAAAGCCCTCTTGGGCAAATCATTTGCGCAAGAGGGCCAGTGTAAACAGCACAGTACTGTTTTCCACAAAAAAGCCCCGATTGCGAAAATGGCGATCGGGGCTTTTTTGCGGAAAAGCGCATCTAGATTGGTCACAGACGCTTTTCCGCAAAAAGTGCTTTTCCGTTAAAAGCATTTTCAGAAAATCATGCCAGTCTAGGCGTAGCTTAGGAGTTTCTGTGAACTCTTTGTATAAGAGCCTTCAAAACAGGCCAGAACTAAAGCCAATACTTGATTAATATGGAAAGTAGTATTTACGTACACACACGCATACACACACGTTTTATCTTACATTTCATATTAGAATGAATGCACAATATCAAACCAAAACAGATGAAAGCTTGAAACTGGAAGTGGGGTTTTTTATTTCGTTCTCATGGAAAGCTTTAAAACAACTCAGGATGCTTGAAAGAATCTTGGAGTATACCCAACGGCTCTTTCATAACAATAATATGCTTGGCAGCATGGGTCCATAGCACTGTCCATGAGCACATTGTATGACTTTATTTCAGGCATTTAAAAGAACTGCAAAGTTATTACTGATCACAGATGACCACAAGGCTGCTACCTATCCTATTCAGGGCTGGACAATGTCTCCTCCTGACCTTTAGTCCAGTCTTGGGGGTTCAGTGTGCAAGGACTTTATCTCTGAGACAAGCTGTGTGATCAAAAGGTTCCAGCTGGCACTGACCAATGAGGACTTCAATCCTCTAGAGTCCAGGTCTCTATAATACATCCCTATTACTGATAAAAATCAAACCATCAAAAATGCCCATCAGTTGCTGTTCACAATGCATATGAAATGCCTAGTTTCCTGTTTAAGAACTGGACTAGAGAGTGAGGGTACCTGTGAGCCTGGCCCAATCACATTTAACTCAAGCAGAACAACTTCAACAGATAAGAGATCAGCAAGCCCAGGGCTGTTAAGGTATGTCTACACAGCAAAGTTAATTCAAAATAACAGCCGTTATTTCGAAATAACTGTCCTAGCATCTACACAGCCATTCTGTTATTTCATATTTAAATTGAAATAGCAGAGGGTTTATTTCGAAATTGGTAAACCTCATTCCACAAGCAATAACGCCAATTTCAAAATAGCTATTTCAAAATAAGTGCTGTGTAGACACTTATTTCAAAATAGGGGGCCTCCAGCCTTCCCAGGGTGCCCTGGTGGCCACTCTGGCCTCAACCAAGAACACTCCTCTCCCCCCCACCTCTCCGAAGCCCTTAAAGGGGTAGACTCTGGCCTCAGTGCCTGTTCCAGCTCCAAGCCAGCCATCCCAGCCCAGAGCCAGCTGTCGCTGCACCTGACCCAGTGGCCCTAAAGCATGAGCCAGCAAGCCACTGGCAGCCACGCCTCTACCTCTCCCCAGGAGCAGTCTGCCAGCTCCCAGGAGCCTGCCAGGGCCTGGAGAAGGCGGGCGCCTTTCTGGTCCAGGTTGGAGATCATGGATCTTATTCAGGTTTGGGGGGGATGCCCCCAACGTCCATGATCTCTGCACTAGATGGAGGAACGCGGCCATCTATGGCAGGATAGCTACCAGCCTGGCCACCAAAGGCCACATGCGAACCCAGAAGCAGGTTCGCATGAAAATCAAGTTGGTCCGGCGAGACCCCCAACCCTGAGCTTCACCTTCCCCTTCTTCCCCTTGCTTCCTCCTTCCAGCTCCCTCCTCCCAGGTTTCCCTCTCCCTTCTCCCACCAGGGAGGCTCTTAGTGCTTCTCAGGGTGAAAACTCTCCCACAGGGCCTCATGGATACCGACAGCCCCCCGATGGACCTCCCAGATGGCAGCCTGCAGAAAGTGCAGCCAGGCTTGCAGCAACGTGTCCAAGAGAAGACCAGCATGCCCAGGGGCAGCGCTGGCTCCATGTTGCTGAGTGCTGAGATGTCCTGAGTGAGGACAACCATAGTACGCAGAGACAAAATGCTTTGCTGTCCCTCATCGAGGTAGGCAAGCAAGCAGGGAAACCTGAGAACTGGCTGTCTGGGGTGGGGGGGGACCTTAACCTCAGGAAGCAGCTATACAAAGTAACTCCTGACCTGATGCCCTGCTGGACCTGGTTCCAGCTGGCCTTAAATGCGATTCAGAGTCCACTCAGTGTGGACGCGCTAGTTTGAAATAGCCAAATGCTATTTCAAAATGCATTTTCTGTGTAGACGCGTTATTTCAAAATAAGCTATTTCAAATAATGCTGTAGTGTAGACATACCCTTACAGAACAGGGGCAGGCACAGCGACCCTCAAATCCACCCCTGCTACAGTCCAAGCCCACAGACAAACCTCTACAATACAGATCAATCTAGAAGCAACTCTTGGTCTAACCAATGTTTAATTAAACCCCTTCCATAGGCAATAGGGAGAAACTGGCACCACATTGCCCAGGGCACACGCAACACAACTGTGTTTGAAACCCCTCCAAAGCCCTTCATAAGGGAGGCAGAGAGTGGCTTCAAACCCACACCACAGATAGTTTAACCATTGAACTGCAAAGTGCAGAGCTGTTGCTGCCTAATATTTAGCTAAAGTGTACAGGTTGGATCTCCCTGGTCTGGCACCCTCAGGACCTGACTGGTCCTGGATGAGGGATTTTCCTGGCTCCCCCCTGCAGCCTAGCTGAGCTGCGTGGCCAGCACCCCCCCAGCCCATCTAAGCCCTGCGCTGGCTCCCTGCTCAAACCCGTTCCCCAGCTTCTGGCTTCCTTCCCCCAAACCACCACCCCGCCCGCCTTGCAGGCCAACTGAGCCACAGGCCGGCTCCCAGGCCCCCGACCTCCTGCAGCATGCCAGGACTCTGATCCTGGAACATCTGTGGTCATGCTAGACCATAGAAGTTACCAGACCAGAGAATCCCAGCTTTTAAAGGTAGAACCTGTATCAGCTTCAACAGGCAAGTTGAAGGGGTCTCCAGCCTCCATCACCATAGCTAGCTATATATCCCAGACTTGTACATGGGCTGTTGCCTCTTCCCTCACACCCTTTTCAAGAAGCAGAAATAGGCAACAGGTTTATACCAAACCAAAGGTGGCGTGTCTTCCTGCAAGGCACAGTCAGCATGTGGTCCTCCTTGCTAGTTGATGTTGTGAAGGCCAACTTGTAAGTGGGTTCAGTTAAAAAGTGATCAGTTGCATGGAGAATGTCTTGAAGGGTTATTAACCAAGATGGTCAGGGACACAGTCCTGTGCTCCAGTCATCCCAAAACCCCAGACTGCCAGCTGCTGGGAGTGATCGACAGAAAACAGATCACGTGATAATTGCTCTCTTCTGTCCATTGCCTTTGAAGCATCTGGCATTGGCCACTGTTGGAGGATGGGTGACTGGGCTAGCAGGCTCATTAGTCTGATGCAGTCTGGTCATTCTTACAGTCTTAATTTCCTCTGTGGTGTATAAGGCTCCCTCTTTAGGCCGGTGGTGGGGCTTCTCTGTGTCTGCAATGTGCAGGGGGCCAGACTAGATGATCAGGATGGTCCATTCTGGCCTGAGTCTAACAAAAAAATTTATGAATCAACTAGATTTACTATAAACACTACAGCAGGAGTGGATCTTTCAAAGGGACTCAAATGTGGAGAAGGTAGAGATTTTGCAGATGAGCACAGGAAGGTCATGCCATTTATAGGGGCAGTGAGTAAGTGATTAATAAGGAAGAAATACTGGGAAAACTGTGCCCCAAACCATTTCTACAGATAGAGAGATGACATGCAAGAATTGCCTACATGCTCATACCAGCCAATATCACAGATTTCATTCAATACCCCTTTCTCCAACCATTAGCCAGCCCCTCAAATATCTTTTCCCCTCATCATCTTTCTTTCTGCTAGATAATATCCAGGCCCCCAATAGCCCTGGCTATATGTTTATAATAGTTCACAGCATTTCATTGCAAGTCTGTTCTGTTTATCAGAATAATTAGTGTATACATATATGTTTATATGTATATGCATTATATGTAGGCTAGTCAGACATGATCTGCACATACAGATACATATAATGCAAAGAGGAGAGCACAGTGGAAGAACAAATTGCTTCTTGTGACAAAGAGACATAGCAGTATAGGGACTAGCAGATGAGAAGCAGCCTCCAGCAAGGTCTTTGTTTACTGGCAACGTGACATGTCAGTCCTAGGGTGCCAAGAGTGATAGTCCAGGTCAGGTCACTCTGCCTCAAAATGGGCTCTAGTCATGCTAGTTATTTTTGACAGGTTAAGTATTTGCTTTCATGGCTTCTTAGGTGGACTGTTGAACTTTTGACCTGATTTCAAGAGAGAAGCTGTTTAAAATATTGTCTTAGTGGGTGTTTGGAAATAGTTTTTTAACATGCCTTTCAATTTAGACAAGGATCACTGTTTGATTCCATAAAATAATGTCTTTCTTCACTAGATTCTGATAAGTTGAATGCCCGAAATATTTATAGTTTATAGTCATGAAAGAAAAACAAAACAACCCCCTTCCAAAACCTTGTTGTGATCTATTGTAAAAATGTATCTTTTAGATGTTCACATTGTTGCTGTTCAAGTGATTTGGAGACTGCAGCTCAGAGGTCTCGAACTCCCAGCCTGCAGGCCATCCCCAGCCAGAGCAATTGCACAGTCCAGTCTGAGAGGCCCAGTGGTCATGGGGGGGCCTATCCATTACTGGCTCCCGAACCCTACCGCTTTCCACCTTCACCCTGCCCCCTTCTCCCATGGCACCACATTCCCTGAGCCCCCAGCTTCGGGGATCACCAAGGGGTGTGTCAGCAGTCCTACTCTGCCCATGCCCTGGACTTCCTATGGTAGCAGGAGCTTTGGGGGCAGTGGAGCACACTGGGTGGTTCAGTGTGGATGTGTCAGAAATAAGCAGTGTCATATCAATATGATAGTTTTCTTTGAGGGAGTAACAAGCCTTATGGATAGAGGGGAAGTGGTAAACATGGTATAGCTTGACTTTAATAAAGCTTTTGTTACTATCTTGCATGACCTTCCTATAAACAAACTAGGGAACTGCAACCCCTAGATGGAGCTACTATAAGACGGTTGCAAAATTGGTTGATAAATCTCTCCCAGGGAGTAGTTATCAATGGGACATGCTCAAAAGGCATAAGAAGTGGGATCCTGTAAGGATCAGTTCTGGGTCTGATTCTATTCAATATCCTGATCAATGATTTAGACCATGGCATAGAGACTGCACTTAGTGTGTAGAGAGTACCAAGCTGGGGTAGGGAGGGAGTTGCAAGTGCTTTGGAGAATAGGATTAAAATTCAAAACAATTTGGACTAACTGGAGAAGTGGTCTGAAATAAATGGGATGAAATTCAATAAAAACAAATGCAAAGTACTCTATTTAGGAAGGAACAGTCAGTTGTATATATAGACAATGAGACGTGATTGCCTAAGAAGTAGTATTGTGGAAAGGAATCTGAGGATCATAGTGGACCACAAACTAAATGAGTCAACAGCATAACCTTCTTACAAAAAAAGCAAATATCATTCTGACATATATTAGTAGGAGTCTTGTAAGCAAGACATGAGAGATCATTCTTTCAGCTAGAGTGTTCTCTCCAGTTCTGGGCACCACATTTCAGAAGTCCAGAGAACAGCAAAAAGAAAAAAGAAAAGAAAAGAAAAGAAAAGAAAAGAAAAGAAATGTCTAGAAAATACGAACCATGAGAGAATATTGAAACAGTTGTGTTTCTTTAGTCTAGAAAAGAGAAGACTAAAAGGATACATTATAACCATTTTCAAGTACCTAAATTCTGTTAGTAAGGAGGACTGTCCTAAAGCTCTCAGAATAGGACTTAAATTGCAGCAAGGGTGCTTTAGGTTAAGAAAATCTTCCCCTAACTTGGAAGCATTAAAATAAATTACATAGTGAGGTCATGGAATGCTCATAATTGGAGCTTTTTAGAAGCAGGTTACACACCTGCCAGAAATAGTCTCTAGATAAAATACTTAGTCCTTCCCTGCGTGCAGGGGATTGGACTAGATGACCGCATGAGGTCCCTTCTAGTCCTATAATTCTGTGAAAGTTATGTGCTGCTATGTTAATATTGTGTGTGATTTAGTAAGCAGTAACTTGAAACAAAATTCCAACTAGTGCACATTTATATTCTTGAAAGGTGTCTTCACTGTCATTTTTAAAGTAAAGAATCTGGCTAAACCGTGAAACCTAAAGAATTGGTAATGAGTCCAAAATCCACTTAAATTTATCATAATGTACCTGGTTATTGGACTGACAGTTTTCTTTCCTGGAAGTCAATGGATAATCCAAGCAAACAATGAAAGTTACAGAAACAGCTTTTTAAACTCAGAATTGACTGGCCTTTATCTACTGCAGCCAGTTCTTTAATGAGATTTTAATGTGCCCCAGTTTTTCAAATGTGACTAGGGATTTGGGTATATAGCATCTCTTAAAATCTTGGCTTCTGAACATGTGTAGGTGGACTAATAATTATTTAATGTTTAATTAAAAGGCATGTTTTCTCTTTCTAATAGTCAAGCTTTTGATCCAGAAGCACAATACAAAATGAACCACAGGCGTAGAGGGATTGCTTTAATCTTCAATCATGAGCGGTTTAACTGGCATTTGACACTGCCAGATAGACGTGGCACTCTTGCAGACAGAGACAATCTGAAACGCAGGTAAGATATTTGCCGGTTTTTCTGAAGGATTCTTTTTTAGATACGTTAAATAAAAATATGCAATTCAGAGTGATTTGTCATACAAGTTATGCCAGCAGCTCTAAAATAACTGATTTCATTGTGTAATCGTGACTGAAAGGTTTTGCACAGTACCCCATGATAAAGAGTTAAATGCCTGCTTCTGCTCCTTTTGAAGCCAGAACTCCCATTGATTTCAATGGGGACAGGATCAAGCCCTGTGAAAATAGATTGTTGAGGTACAGACAACTATCAAGGTGGGGAAGACAAAGTGGCAGTCTTAATTTTTAAAGGCTTCTTAATTTTGCATAACTAGGCAAATTGCATTTCAATATGAGGGCAGACAAAATATTTTCAGAGGTTAACAAAAAAAGAGGTAAATTTCATTGTAATGTCACAAACTGGTAGGGAGAAAGGGAGGTATAGTACTTGACATTATTTTTAGCTTTTTATTTTATTATAATTGACTAGATTTCAAGCTGACTGTCCATTTAATATTGTTTGGCAACATTCATTTATCTAATATCCCTAAATGCATTCATGTGATGGCTGGATGCAAGTGTCTGCTGTTGAAACAGTTCTTTCTTTGTGATTCTTATAATTGTGGGGCTTATGGTAGGAGATCAGTTGACCTTTTGCTGATTCATATCTTACGCCTACTGTTATTCACTTAACCAGTAACAGTAAATGTTCAAATAAATCTACAAGAGGCCCCTGACTTGTGATGCGATTGGTTCCGAAAGAAGCGTTGCAAGTCGGGGGTTTGTAACTTGAACCCTCATTTATGGTAGGCACCGTGCACCATTGTAAATGTGGGCTGAGGATGTGAGTCAGGGTGTTCCAGCCCCTTCCACACTTACAAAAATGGGCATCTCGGGGGCCTCCTGTAATTTGTCATCCAATAGCAGAATAGTTCAATGTTAGATCGGTAGGATAAACAGATGTGCTATGGTATAATTTCAAAAACTGACTAAAAAGTTGAGGAGGTTGAGAGAGACCTTTATTCCTATTCACCTAATAAGTGCACACAGTTCTAGGTATTGCCTATTTTGTATCTGCTAACTGGTAGTTATCGAAAAGCAGCTTTGGGGAAGCCGGACAGCTATGCAGCCAAATAAAGCTCTAGGCCAAGGGTGGGCAAAAGGGCCTCTGTGAGTTGGATCTGGCCTGCCAAGCAGGTTGATGCAGCCCATGGAGGCCCTGCCACTCCCCCAGCCCCAGGCCAATTAGGGCCTGGGGATGGAAGGAAGCTCATGAAGATTCCTCTGCCCTGCCAGCAGCACATGGCTCCTGGCAGGATGAGAGGAGACTTCGTGCACTCACCTGCCACCAAGCCCTGATTGGCCTGGGGGCAGAAGGGGGAGCATACAAAGTGTCATCCCACCACCAGGGGCATGGGTGCCTAGGGGGAACCTTGTGGGGGGGGGGGCAAAGGCACCTCCCTCCCCACCCCTAGACCAATCATGGTCTGTAGGTCAGGAAGCAAGTAAGTATCCTGGCCCCACCCCCTTTCACTTGAGGCCCCGCCCCTTCTGGTATGGCCCAGGGCCACTTCAGAAATTGCCCACCCGTGCTTTAGGCACAGTTGTGCTATATATGTGACTAACTCAAGGAGCCAGTATAATCTAAGTTTAGTCACATGCTATTTTACAACAAAAATAGATACCCACAAAGAAAGGGATGCATTACTTACAGAAAACAGCTAGCTCTAGTTGCCTTCCTTTGTGGACTACCAACAAATTCAGAGTCCCATCACTGACAATATGTTAGCTACAGAGAGACCAGGTGAGCGAGGTATAACCTCTTTTATTGGATCAACTTCTGTTTGGTGAGAGGGGCAAGCTTTCCAGCCACACACAGGTCTTCTTTGGGTCATCCCCAGGCTTGAAGAAGCACTCTCTCTGACTTGAAGGCATCTCTCTCTCACTAACTAGAAGATGGTTGGATAAAAAGTAATATCTCACCTACTTTAGCATTTCTCTAATATACTGGGACCAACACAGCTATTACTACACTGCATACAATATTAGATGAAGTAATTAGAAACATGTCCCTCTAAAGAAGTGGTAGCAAGCCTCCTATTCCATTCACAAGCAGTGTAGTTCCATTGTGATTTTTGCTTTAATGTATAGACCTATGCACCCAGCAGCACATCATGGCATTGAGGAAATGAATAAAAATTGGTAAGAGCACCCAGGGTAGGCTGGTACTGACCTGATGTCTGTAAAGTAACTAGTCACCATTGTGTAGTAGATTGGCACAGAGAGCCCTGCTGATGGAGAGGTTGGGGGCAGAGGACAATTTCCCTGGGGCTCAGCGATTCAAGGGGGCCTGGGACTCTGGCAGCTGCTGCCTTGAAATTGCTGCTGGAGTGCAGCAGCACATGGTCTAGGCAGCACTAAAGGCTGGGGGAGGGGGAGTGGAGAGGGAAAGCTGTGCTGTACTCCTAGGCTGTGTCTAGACTGGCAAGTTTTTCCACAAAATCATCTGCTTTTGCGGAAAAACTTGCCAGCTGTCTTCACTGGCCGCTTGAATTTCTGCAAGAACACTGACGATCTCAAGTAAGATCGTCAGTGTTCTTGCGGAAATACTGTGCTACTCCCGTTCGGGCAAAAGCCCTCTTGCGCAAATCATTTGTGCAAGAGGGCCAGTGTAAACAGCACAGTACTGTTTTCTGCAAAAAAGCTCCGATCGCGAAAATGGTGATGGGGGATTTTTTGCGGAAAAGCGTGTCTAAATTGGCCACGGACGCTTTTCCGCAAAAAGTGCTTTGCGGAAAACGCGCTTTTCCAAAAATGCTTTTAATGGAAAACTTTTCCGTTAAAAGCATTTCCAGAAAATCATGCCAGTGTAGACGTAGCCCTACGGATTTGCAGAGGCTGCCCGCTCCACTGGGCACAGAGCTCACAAGGCAAGGGGCTGCCCATAACCAAATGAAAACATAATATAGAGGAGGTTGCATGGCCCAGCATTAGCACCTTTCAGGGCATGATTAAGTTTTTATGTTCTGTTTATATGATGTTTCTGATTGATGGTATTTTGCCCCTTCAAAAAAAAAAAAAAAAAAAGTCCAGAACTGTCATTTAAGCTAACAGTGGTCTGAAAATGAAATTTTGGCAAAAATGGAAATTGTCCTACTTTATTTTGCATTTTGGTTTGGTGGTTGGTTTTCAGATAGGTCCCTGGGGAAGTACTGAATTATTTGTTTTTCTGTTGCTCTTTAAGATAATTCCTATTTTATTAAAATACCTTCACTTTATAATTTTTTTGTTGTTGTATGCAGCTTTAAGGCACTCCTAGCTATCAGGTTTGGGTGTCATTACATAAATTGACATGGATATTTATTCTCTTAAGGAACAGGTACAAAGTTGCAAAGGGAAGCAACAAAGGGGGTGAAATTTATAACTCAACAAGGATACTTATTAAAATGTGTGTGTTTAATGATAGTTTGACAGCGCTTGGCTTTGAAGTCAAATGCTTTGATGACCTTAAAGCAGAAGAAGTGTTGCAGAACATTTATGAAGGTAGGAATCTATGTCACGGGTATGTCTTAGTCTGCTTGCAGAGGTGGTTCTAGATAAGATTGTATTTCTCCATCACTGGTAGACAAATTCATGTTAACCTGTACAGGCAGTCCCCGGGTCCTCCGGGGCTCTGCGCAGCGTCTCCCTGGTCTGCAGACCAGGGAGACGCTGCGCAGAGCCCCGGAGGACCCGGGCCGGACCGCGGCGCTGATCTGGAAGCGCCACTGTTCGGCCCGGGTCCTCCGCAGCTTTGCTCCACGTCTCCCTGGTCTGCTGGGGGGGATGCAGCTAGTGCCCCCCCCCCCCAGCAGACCAGGGAGACGTGGAGCAAAGCTGCGGAGGACCCGGGCCGAACAGTGGCGCTTCCAGATCAGCGCCGCGGTCCGGCCCGGGTCCTCCGGGGCTCTGCGCAGCGTCTCCCTGGTCTGCAGACCAGGGAGACGCTGCGCAGAGCCCCGGAGGACCCGGGCCGGACCGCGGCGCTGATCTGGAAGCGCCACTGTTCGGCCCGGGTCCTCCGCAGCTTTGCTCCACGTCTCCCTGGTCTGCTGGGGGGGATGCAGCTAGTGCCCCCCCCCCCCAGCAGACCAGGGAGACGTGGAGCAAAGCTGCGGAGGACCCGGGCCGAACAGTGGCGCTTCCAGATCAGCGCCGCGGTCCGGCCCGGGTCCTCCGGGGCTCTGCGCAGCGTCTCCCTGGTCTGCAGACCAGGGAGACGCTGCACAGAGCGGCGGAGCACCCGGCAGGACCCGCGCCGCTTCCAGCTGATCTGGAAGCGGCCGCGGGTCCGGCCCCCGGTGCTCCGCCGCTTTGCTCCTGTCTCCCTGGTCTGCTGGCTCCGCCAGCAGACCAGGGAGACGGGGAGCAGCTTTTCTCGCCCCGGAGAAGGCGGGCGGCGGGACCAGGCGTCCCGCTGCTCTAGTTCTCCGGGGCGAGAAATCCCCGTTTGTAACTACGGATCCGACATAAGTCGGATCCGCGTAACTCGGGGACTGCCTGTATTGTTTTCCTTTTGTGATGAATTCCCATAACATAAAAAGACTAAGTAACAGAAAATACGTAATTTTATACCAGTATTATCTTCATTTGTATTGCATTGCAAGCATTTATATTCCCAAAATGCACCTGTGACCAACAAAATTAGTATTTAATAGGCATCTCTCTGACTTCTAGTAGACTGGCTACTCAGGTTGTACGGATCAGTGTAGTTCCAGACCTCAGCAGAGCTGATTTACAGCCACTGACAATATGGCTCAACATATTTGGAATAGGACTGATTTGAGATTAAGTCATTTAATGAGGTTTTGAGTAGACTAATTGTGTGGTGTTTAATAAATAGCATAAAACTTGCATAATCATCTAAACACAGCTCCACTATTCTAGTGTCAATGGACAACCACAGTGATGCTGACTGCTTTGTATGTGTGTTCCTGAGCCATGGTGAAGACAATCACATTTACGCCTATGACGCTAAAATAAAAATTCAGACGGTGACACACATGTTCAGAGGAGACAACTGCCAGAGTCTAATAGGAAAGCCTAAAATATTTATAGTTCAGGTAAGATGTCGGTTTTTGAATTTATGTACTTCCCTTTCTGTGCTATTACCTGCCCATAGGCTGTCTACACTACAAGGTTTTTGCATAAAAAATGGTGAAGCGTCCACACCTCAAGCACATTTTTGCACCAAAATAAACAAACCTAAAAACCCCGTAAATCGGCAGGACAGAGGGCTTTTGCCAGTAGAGTTATTCCTCTCCAAACGAGAGCTACAGCTCTTGCACAAAAAGGCATGTGTGGACACTCTGCAGGGGTTTCTTGTGCAAAAAGAGCCTACAGAAAAAGCACAGGTGCTCTGATGGCCATTCTGTTAATGGCAATCAGAACTTTCTTGTGCAAGAGCATCCATGCAGTGTGGACACTCTTGTGCAAAAGCACATCGCTTTTGCGATGCACTTTTGAGGTGTGGATGCGCTTTTGTGCAATAAGTTTTTGTGGAAGATCTCTTCCACAAAAAGCTTCTTGCGCAAAAACCCTGCAGTGTAGACATAGCTTTAGTGAGAGAAAGTCTTCTCTGTGGATCAACTTCTTGTCTCCACCTGTCTCTGGCAACACAAGCACTGCATGATCTCGATCTCTCTCTCTCTGCAGGTTAATGATAGGTGCATACCACTTCCATAGTCCTTGAGTGTTCCTCAGTCCATTTCATTGAATTCGCTGAGATTCACTGCTCCCAAAAGACTAACAAACAGCATCTTACTTGAGTCAACTAAGATCCCCCACTCTGCCTAACAGATGGCACTTAGATATGTTTAAAGTGAAAATAAGAATAAGTTTATCAAAGAATAGAGATTCAAATAATAGAAACTAAGACTATTAGAAAGAAATGGTTACATATAAAACAACAACACACTTTTGTGGAGCCTAAACTTAACTCATGGAGCATTTTCCCATCTTTTACAGGATAGCTTTACTCCAGTGCCTTTTCCAGCCAAGGTGGCTGAAATCCCTCTTTTATAAGGTCAAGAGTGCTAGCAGGATCTCTCTCTGCAGCCCCAAATATACCAGATGAGAACTTATATTTTTACCTCTTCTCAATTCTCGTCAAGTTCTTCATGAGCATTTAACTCAATATATTAAGAGACATCTATTGAAAGACACAGGGATCTGCCAATGAAATAAACTTCTCCAGATAGGAGGTGGGAGATGCACTTGTTTCAAGATGTGCTGTTTTTAGCTACAAGGCCTAAAAACAATTTTCACACACACACACATACACACACACACACACACACACACACACACACAAAAAGCCATCTATTGTGACACAGGCTTCCATCAGAGACCCTACAAAACACCTTAAAGTTAACCCAGGGGATCCCTGTCTCTTAATGCTAGATGGCATCAAGAAATCTTTGGGTTACAGTTATGTACTGGGGTTGGAAAATAACTAGTGTACAAAAGCTTTTGAGAATCAGCTTAAATTTAATTTTTTGCTATGCTAGCTAAAACAAGACAATCTTGTATTGAAGCTGCCACGGTCACAATGGTAAAATTATATGGATACATGAAAGCTAGCTCAAATCAAGACCGTGTAAATAGCCAACAATTGTCCAATGGCAGAGACACCTTTACCATCAGTAATTTGAGGGAAAGAATCTCAATTCCTTAGGTAACCACAACTAGTGCTTATATACCAGACTTAGGAAAGCTAAAAACTGAATAGGCATACTCCATGAACTAAGTTCTTGCCTCATCAGATGGTTCCCTTCCAGTCAAGGTTGAGGTCTCTTGGCCTGATGCTGTTGGAAGTTTGTACTACATGACCTTTGCTGTACATTTTTGTGTAAACCCCATTTATATTTGGAGCTCAATTAGTCATGCACTATATGTTGGCCTCTCATGACCTTTTAGCAAAGAAATTCTTGCTTCAGTGGGTCTCAAAATTGGCTGCATAATTCAACATGAGTAACAGTGGCCAGGGCCTTCAGGAGATGAGTGGCCTCCATTTACAGCAATCGTGGGCAGACATGGCCATAATTTAAAGCTGTTTCCCTCCCTGGATGAATCACTTTATCACTTCTCTCCTCTTGGGACAAAACTTCCTTCAGACTTAAGAGTCCCTGCAGAATTAAACCTGCTGCTAAGTCAGTATCTTATACTAAAGAGTAAATCCACTTTGGATTTTATACAAGTCAGAACTGCAAGAAGGAGAAATGTTCAGTACCACAACTGGAACTTTAATTATTTGGAGGCTCTTACTAATGTAGACTCGTCCATAAAACAACACAACCAAAAATCAGTTCCACCCTTGTTTTAATTTACAATGTACACTAAGACATTAAAAGATAGTAATGATGACCCTGCTGAAATATCGGAGGCTGCAGTGAAGAAACTCTCATCTTATTGCGTCCCCGACTTTGTCTCCTGTGCTACACTGAGTGCATCAGCCTCACACTACTGCTTCTCCCATGAGTATACCACCACACTGTTTTCAAGCTGCTGCTTAAACACACACCACCATCCCTGAACTGATCTGTAAGGTACTACCACCTTCTTCCAGAAATGGAGAGCAGATCGGTACCGTGTCAGCTATGCCTTGATATTTCTAAGTTAATGCCCTTCACTCTTAACCAGCTTGCTCTACCAATGAAAATATTGTAGTAGGATAGAACGTCGTTCTTTCTGAACACAGCTACATTAATGAACAGGAATGCTTCTGCTTTTAGCATTTTGTTCTGTGATGGCTAACTGTACTCAGTAGATAAGAGGAGTTGACAGTTTTCTTTCCTGCTAGGCATGTCGAGGAGATAAACACGATGACCCAGTCATTGCTCAGGATGCAGTGGACAGTATTACAGATAAGTCCAACATCAATGAAACTGAAGCAGATGCTGCAACTGTGTATACGTTACCTGCAGGTGCAGACTTTCTAATGTGCTACTCAGTTGCAGAAGGTATGTTATTTTGCACTGACATTTCTAGCATCTAACTCCTGCAGGAGTTTTGCAGCTGTATCATTAAGTATAGTAGGTTTGCAGTTTCTTCACTGCACAATCAAAACAAGAATTCAAGTTCCTTAAACTCACCACTTTGCATGTCTGCATAAGAGGCGTCTCCCAAGTGGTGAAAGGGTTGAGAATAAGTCAAAACATGCCATCTAACTTGAAATTTTTAAATCAGTTCGCTCCTCAAAACATACTGATCACATCCTTATCACTGAGTTACTTGTTGGGAGGAAATAGTCTTCTGCATCTCTCTTCAGTGTCATATTTCTTCAACCTCTTCACATAGCAGGATGCCCTCCCCAAACCATCTCTCAATCCTAAAGACTATCTCATAATTCCACAATGGGTGAATTTACAGAACTGTTTCTGCTATTAAATTAATATTGCACTTCATTTAACATTGCCTGATGTTGGAAAGGTATACAAATATTAATACAAAATAATTTTGCATAATATTGTATAAAAGTCAAAGAGCAAAATTAAACACCAATGTGCAACTCCAGTGACAGAAATGAAGAGGTAGCAGGTTTAAAACAAGCAAAAGGGAAGTACTACTTCACACAACACGCAGTTAACCTCTGGAACTCATTGACAGGGTGTGATGTGAAGGACAAAACTAACTTGTGGGTTTTTTTTTTTTAAAAAGGTAAGTTTATGGAGGTCCATCAATGATTAGCCAAGATGATCAGAGATGCAACCCCATGCTCTGGGTGTCCTGAGCCTCTAAATGCCAGAAGCTGGGCATGGATCACTTAATAATTGCCCTCTTCTGTTCATTCCCTGTGAAGCATCTAGCAGAGGCCACTGTTAAAGAGAAGATACTGGGCTAGATCAACCATTGGTTCGACTGTGTGGCTGTTCTTATTAATCCCAGGTTAAATTTGATTATTCAAATCTGCCAAAGTGCTGTTTTTATCTCTGGCATCAGAGTACCCAAGATAGCACAAACAGTGAAGAGAGATATCTAGAACTTACCTGCAGCCCATGAAAATGACTGGCAATAAGTAAAGTGTGGCATTAAGTGTTATTAACTGTCACTTCTAGTCTTCATTTAAGGTTAAATGGAATCCTATGCTCTTATTTCCCAATAGGTTATTATTCTCATCGTGAAACTCTAAATGGCTCCTGGTACATTCAAGACTTGTGTGAGATGATAAGGAAGTATGGTTCCTCCTTGGAGTTCACAGAACTTCTCACTCTGGTGAACAGGAAAGTATCTCATCGCGAAGTGGATGTGTGCAGAGACATTAATGCCCTAGGCAAAAAGCAGGTTCCTTGTTTTGCCTCAATGTTGACTAAAAAATTACATTTTCATCAAAAATCAAAGTAGAAATGCCCATCTGTGAGTGACATTTTATCCACAGTCACCCAAAATATGGAAAATTTCTTCATCACATAATCTAGTAATCTAGATCACTGAAAGTAGTTTAAAATATGATTTTTTGATGTGGCTAGAGAATTTCACAGGTATTCACCTCATGCATTTTCCTCAACAGGACCATTTTGCAAAAATGCTAGGATCAAATTTCAGGATTAATTTAAATATTTTAAAAAAGTTTCTGTATTAGAAATAGCTTTGTTACAATACATCAGCATTGCAGCAATAGCATTCTCAGGGAATTTTTGGGGAAAATAAATGTAATATTGATTTCTACGTAATAAAAATTGCAAGGTGCTCAGATCCCATGCTAATGAGGGTTATGCAAGTGCTAAGAGAGAAGCACTTTTTAAACCAATTTTTTAAAATGTTCTGATTTACACTTGAATGACACTTTCTGCTTTCTATCACTTTGTAGCTTTTCACAATTTGTAAAAATTGCATTAGCTTATAAAAGCTTTTTTCTCCTCTACTCTCAATTTATGGGGAATGCAACTAAGGCATGTTTTGTAATTTTTCAGCATCTTAAAATATACTTCACATCTTCAACACATTAAAATGTGCATTTCAGTAAACCCCCAGCCTGTGTGATATTTTGCCTTTAATTTAAGGGGAGGAACTCAACATCTGAGAAGCACTGCTGTTTTGGGGTTCTTCCTTACTAGATCAATACCTTTTCTTCGCTTTCCTTTAAAGAGTTGATGTAGTTAGAAAAATGACTGCATGTGTTCCATTTATTCTCTAGCTAATTTACACAGTAACTACACACAGTTCACAACCTAACTGACCTATTAATAAAAAAAAAATTAAAAAAAAAATCGAACCCCACTATTCTTTGTATTGAAACTTATAGTACCCTGGACACTGCATGCCAAACTAATCTTTTACTATAATAGCACACTGAGTTTATAATAGTGCTACTCAGGAGAGCTATGTACATATATGTTCTTCAGCCACCTGAACATGAGCCTACATGTCACACTGTAAAATTCATATACAATATATTATGAATTAAGAAAAATACAGATGATTGGTGACAAATTATTTTTTGTTTCAGATTTAAGGTACTATATTATATAGACATCTGAGATGATGTACAGTATATAGTGACATATGATTAGGGATGTTAAATTTCGATTAACTAATCGAATAGTCAATGGGATTTCCATCAACTATTTGATTAGTCCATAAGGATTAATGCATTCTGCCTTTTATGTACAAGAGGCCCAGCTATGTGGAATCTGGGGCCAGCGGGGAGTCCCACTGACCCAAAGCATGTGGGTGCGTCTGCTTTGAAATGTACAAGAGTCTCCAGTGGGACTTTGTACATTTCAAAGTTCGCCGTCGCTGCGCCCCTGCCACCTCCCACGGAGCTGGAGCTAACCAGATTCCCCCAGCACTTCTTCATCCTCTCCCCCCCTCAACCTTGCTGCTTCTTTGTGCTAGAGGCAGCAAGGGAGCAGAAGCAACCAATTGACTAGTTGCTTACATCCCTACCTAAGATCAACTAGTTTTATTGTTAATTCTATTAATTCCTTGTATAAATAGCACGGAGGATTTGAGTCTGTGGTTCAAGGTTTTAGTGCTTTGACTTTGTCAGTTAAGAGGACATAACTGCCAGAAGTTAGATACATGGAGAGAAATCCAAGAAACTTTTCTTAATCCTGGGTCAGGGATTTCCTCAATGACTATGGTTTGGTTAACTTTCTCCATCTGTAAATGTGAGTAATACTTATCTACTTTCATAAGTGGCAAGAGGTTCTGGATGGAAGGTGTTATGGAAGCACTTATACACATTCTTAATTTTAAACATAAACTTTCCTGATTGGGACTTAACCAGAAACCCGTTAAAGCATAAAAATACATTTGGCCATAAATACCAGAAACCGTTCCATGAGATCAAGTTTTCTGAGCTATTCACCTCTGCTGTTAATAGACCCATCAAAAATAGTAAAATGCTTCAGTACAGTAGAACACCATTCTGACTCTTATGCCCACATCAATTCACTAAAATGGAGAGAGATTTTTATTACAAGATCAGAATGCATATTTTGAAGGATTTATTTTGGTAATTCATTTTTAAAAATCTAATGATATAATAGTTTTAATCAGAATTTCTAGTAATGTTCAGAACTACAGTCGTCAAAAATATCCAGTTTGCAACATAGTAACTATATATTGAAATCAGTTTTGAAAAAATTAATCTTTATCATTCATTTCCTGTATTGGAAGTCTCAGGTGTAGAGGCTGATGCAGGCGTCTCAGGGACTCTTCAGTCTGTAAACACAAGAGAAAATTAAATGGATTATGTGTCCATATTTATCCCTTTCAGCCACCCTTAATTTGTACCTTCCTTTCATACTTCTGATATTCTTTTCATGTAGCCAGGTCTTTCATTTCTGAGAAAACACTAACCTTATGATACAGATTTCCCACAATAATCACAAGTACAACCTATCATTCTAGGGATAATCATCCAAAAACCATTCTTGCCAGCAGTGAGTTAATCTGTCAGACTGACCACAGGGACTATAGTTATACAAATGCACAAACATCCACTTTTCAGGCAACTGAATGTACCACTCCACACACAGTGCTCTCCCACCTTCAGTTTAATGCCTAAAAACATTTATAAAGCCAATTTTCTCCAACAGCAGAACTGAATTATTTTACATGCTCTAACATAAATTGCAAAAACTTCAAACTAGTGTCAGATAAAGTGAAAATATTTTGAAAACCCAGCTTTGATAAAAGGAACTAGTTTGAATCCTACCCATTTTTTTAAAATTACCTCCCTTCACTTGATTAAAAAAAACCCCACTGAAGTAAAGTATTTCCGTTTACTTTAACTAGACTGCAAATCAGGGTCCTTTATATTTTATTGAAGACTGGGGGACTTTATTTCTCATGGACCACTGAAGACTTTCCCCAGTTCCATATCACTGCTACTACAGAAGATGGAGATGGGATAGAAACCAATTTATCACTCTTGAGAAACACAAGTGAGTGACTTCTCTTCTCCCTCTCTTCCAGCCTCCATGGGCTGCCTGTCCAGTGCTGAAAATTTCTGTCCAGATAATGTGTTACATGTTCACATTTTAGCCTTGATGAAAATCAATAAATCTACAAGTCATTTTCCAATTAGCTCATGGTTAACTGCAAAGTCACAGTGTCTTGATTTCACTTGTACCAAGAGACTTATGAAAATACCTCTGCCAGCGCCTCTTTTAGCTTGTTATATTGTTCCACATCAAAATGTTGGCTTCTGGATATTTGATAGAAGTAATGGAGGAATTGCCTGTTTTTGACATCTGGGTAAACATAATCCTAATAGACAGAAAAAGGACACAAATGTTTGGGGTTCTGGGGCAGGCAGGCAGGCAAAGACATTTGTATAAGTAGAGTTAAATCAAAAGAACGTACATTTAAAAAAAAACAACCCTTAAACCTTGACAAATAAATGACCTTATTTTTAGAACTGCCAAGCACTCAGTGCTCCCATTAGACTCAATGGATGAGTCCATCACAGGACACCGAGGAAGTGGGGCTCTTGACTCCTTAAGTCTCTTTGAAAATCACAGACAATGGCAGCCTCTGAAAATCAGGCCATTCATGTATGTATCAATTTATCCCAAACAGAACTACAACTCTCCAGAAATTCAGCAGAAAGCAAGAGTAGAAACACTCACAAATCCAGCTCTCAACAAACCAGCTGAGCTCCAAAACCCAGTATCCCTCTCCACCTGATGTTTCATATCTATCATAGTTCCATATATGCAAGTAATGGATATTCACCAACTACATCCATACCAAGCAAAATTAAAATACAGGAGTGCATTATTGAATATGCATCACAAAAAAAACGACAAGTTACTATCCAACAATGTGCTTTAGGAGCCCAAATGTGATGTGGGTAAACATGTAAGCTCCTTTAATTATATGGGAGTTGATGATCATTTCAACATACGGTACTCTGTCCATGTTCTGGGTTTTTGCTGTTCAGGAACTCTCCTCCCACCCCCTTCTCTTAAATATGCCTCACTTCAACTTGTGACTTCTCCTTTGCATATGCAAGAGCAAAAAAGGAAGTTAGGCCACTAAGAAAAATCTGTATCTTACTCAAGGAAATAAAATAGGGATTCTTAAATGGTGGGTTAGGACCCCAAAGTGAGTTGTGACCCCGTTTTAATGGGGTTGCCACGGCTGGTGTTGTCCCTGGGACCTAGTAAGTCTGAAGCCCAAGCCCCAACACCCAGATCTAAGGTTCCATGCCTCCCTGCCAAGGCAGAAGCCTTTGGAGCTTCAGCTTTTACCCCCGGCCTGGAGTGGAAGGGCTTAGGTGGTGGGTCTCGGACTTTGGCTCTGGGATTGTGAAGTAATTTTTACTGGTCAGAGGGGGACCATAGTGCTAAGTTTGAAAACTGCTGAAATAAAGTAGGGGAAACAGCTAGAAAATGTCCCAACAGTTGGGCCTCAAGTCACATATGAATGCCATTAAACAAAAACAACAACAACAAAGATGGAAGTTTTCCCTGGCCCATCATGAGATTGCATTCCTTGACCAGCTCTGGTTTAGTACTTGCACTCTGTTTGCAGAGAGGTATGCAATACAGTAAACATCCAGGCCACATACAAAGAATAGACTCAAAGAGGATAGTTTCCATTTCCAGTATCAAATGGCACCTCCCCCGGTCACTGATTCCAGGCAAGCTTTTTAAGTGCAGTTCATATGGGCAGCTCATTTGTGAGCTTCATTAAAAACCCAAGTTCCCTCTTGAGTGCAGTTCTACAGAACACACACATGCTTTGACGCTTCAATACAAAGGGTAATTTATTATGAAAATTGGCATAATATTAACTTCAGACCTGTTTATAGAATGGAACTTACCAGCTTAGTAAGTACAAAGTAAGCATAGAATGCCAGGGCACTCCCGTAAGTGATAAAATACGTGACCGGCTCCATTATATCCCATGAATAGACCCACCACGTGAGCCAGGCCAGGGCACCACCTTGAGTGGACAATAGCGCTAAGCCAATCCATAGGAGCCTACTAGTCCTTGCATCTGCTCTTGTTGCAATTCTGGCTTTCATCTAGGACAGAAGAGTTACTCATTCAATATGTGGAAATTAATTTCATACATTTCTCAGACACAAAGGAGAGAACGTATTCCAGTATATACTTTCCTCCTGGATCAGTGCTTGCATTCAGGAGTCCTACTCATTGGCCGGTCTTCCCAGAAAGGCTTTGCATTCATTCCCACCATGGAGTACAGAAGGGAAGAGTTTTGCCTGGCCCCAATCTTTCCCTTCATTCACACCTTCGGACTCTACCACTTAAATCTACATGCATGAACAGATGCTGCCTGATTTTTCAGAGGGGCACTTTGACAGCACATCTGGGATTTCTGCTTTTCAGTGTGAGGTCTGCTCCCACATCATGCTCTTGCTGGTCTCCTCCTCCCTACTATGCATTCAGGTCACTTGAACTTGGCCTGTCTTAGATTCACAATGCTTGCCCTTTCCATTTTAGGTTATGGTCATCATTAGTCAGACTCAGCTGGCTGACATGGGATAGCTTTGTAACAGAAAAGCAATAGTGTTATTAACTTTTTTTTGGTGGCATGACACCACCACTCTGGGCACACAAAGTGAACAACCAGGTCCAGGCATAGTAACCAGGTGGCAGTCCAGGATAGTGCCAGCGCTCACCATAGTTTTTCTCCAGCTCTAGAAGTTCTCAACTGGATAAGCCAAGTAAAAGAAGAAGGCAGTGGGATGGAAATCTTGTGTCCACATTGGCTATCTCCAATCTGCCTGTCTATTAAGGAGGGCTTGCCTCATTTTTTCATGCTCAAGCTATTACATCATGGAAATTAGTGTAGAGAAATTTGTTCTTCTATTTAAAAAATCCTTCCCAACCTGCTCAAGAGGTACCAGCTGGTCCCGCAAACGGTCCAGTTTCTGAAGCAGTTCTCTCTCTCTCCTTAACTGGTGGTCTTCTAAATGAAGGGCCGTGAACAGTCTGTGAACCAAGGATCTGACATCTTCTGCTTCAACAGCATGCTCTTTAGTACACTTTTCTGGAGAAAAAAAAAAAAAAAAAAAAGACCACGGTTGTCATTATAGGGACAAGGTGGGTGAGGCAATATCTTCTATTGGACCAAAGGAACAAGTTTTCCAGTTTTTACAGTAACCTTAAGACCTTCGTGTATTTTTGAAAGCTTCTCTCTGACACCAACAGAAGTTGGCCCAATAAAAGATGATTACCTCTCCCAGCTTTTTTCTCTAATACGCTGTGACTAACATGACAACAAGACTGAAAACATGGTTGTTGTGACTGGTAAGTATCAAGCAATGCTCATTCAAAAAAACCCAAAAACCACACAAACAAAAACAAACGAACAAACCTGTCATTGTTTACAGAGTATTTGTGTGTGGTCACAGTCTGAGGCTCAAAGGGAAGATGAAGCCACTTCTGTTTTGAGAGGACTGCCATGATTTTTTTTTTAATCACATACAACTGGATAATTAGATTTATTAAGGCTTCAACAGAGCTGTGGTTCTCACCTTTTACAGGGACGTGTACATTATAAGTTGTGTTGTTGATTACAAGTTTGAAGTCATTCATCAACAAAACTTCCATCAATGCCGTAGCAGGGATCTTGCTACCGTCTGCAGGAGAAAACACAGAGGCTTAAATCCTTCACACAAAATTACTTTATTTAAAAAAAAAAAAAAAAAAAAAGAGAGAAATAGAAAAACCTTTGTCATCAGTTTCCAAAAAGAAATGTCAGCCAAAAATGTCTTAATAAATATTGCATTAAGTCTAGAAGTAAACAGTATACAGCTACAACTACTAACTGTGCTGAACAAATATGCTTCTTAACCAGGGCCGGCCTGAGCCATTTGTGCGCCCCAGGTCCCGGGAGCGCAGCACCACCCCCCCGGGAGTACGACACATGCATGGCTCCGCCCCCGGGCGCACGGCACTCTCCGCCCCCGGACGCTTGGTGCATACGCGGCCCCGCCCCTGGGCGCCTGGCGCATGCGCGGTGCCACCCCTGCCTGGCCTGACAGCCCCGCGCGGCGCCCTGTACAATGGGGCGCCCCAGGGGGGTAGCCTGGTTGGCCCAGACCTTGGGCTGGCTCTGTTCTTAACAATATTAAACCAAGAGAACATCACCTGAAATACTTAGCATGTGCCTATATTTCACGTAACCTGTTTGGAATAACTCATTATTAGTAACCTTTTTATTTTAGTTTTAGGGTGAGAGACAGTAAAGATAAAACCATATTTAAAGACTCTCTTTACCTGTGTCAAGACCTTAACATTCTCTCTACTGTATCTAAACCTATATCTTTTTGTGTTACTTTTTGCATCTGGAAAATTAAACTATTTAGACCAGATTCACTTTCTAGACAAAGAATGGTCTTGTGTGATTACTACACAGTACTTCTACCTCAGGAAATCTAGCTTCACCAAACTTATTGAGGGGTCCAGGTAAGTAAAAGTTTCTGTGTCTGTTTTTTCTTAGTTGGAGACAATGTTTGTAGTGTTTTGGATGGAGGATACAACAACATAAGACTGAAGACCTTAGAAATTTCAAAGAACTACTCAAGGATTGAGAGATTGTCAAAACTTCATTGAAAATACTGCATTTCCAGAATTGTGTATGTAATCATCAATAATAAATAAATAAATAAATAAATACATACATACATACATACAATCCTCCAGGCACTATCTCTGAACAGATGCAATCTGGAGTATCTCTTCCAAACAGGGCTTAAACACATTTAACTCAAGTAAATTAATCATGATTAAACAAAGTTTTAATCACACTGTTAAACAACAGACTACCACCTGAAATGAATTAAATATTTTTTTACATTTTCAATTATATTGATTTCAATTACACAATTCAAAATGCTCACTTTATATTATTTTTATTGCAAATATTTGCACTGTAAAAAATGAGAAACAAAAGAAACAGTATTTTCATCATACCTCATACAAGTACAGGCAGTCCCCGAGTTACACGGATCCGACTTATGTCGGATCCGCACTTAAGAACGGGGCTCTCTCGCCCCAGAGCTTGCAGGCACGGGACCGCCCAGAGCGCAGCGGTCCCACCACCTCGACCTCTGGGGTGAGAAAAGCTGCTCCGGGTGCCTTGTGAGAGTTCATCTGCATCTAAACCAGAAGTGGAAGATAGATCCTCCTGGATCCAATCTCATGTTTTGTTGTTCTACTCCAGCTCAGACCCACTAGCACTGTGGACTTCAGTTTGCGTGTGGTGTACTGATAGCCCCAAATTTAGGAAAATATGTAATCATAAGTTTAAGTCCACTCCTAATGCGCATAAGCACTTGCTTAAGTACTTTGCTGAACTCGGCCCGAAGCACCTGAGACCGACAGACTGCCCTGGTCAGAGAGTAAGTTACAGTCCGAACCGTTCCATCGGTTTCCACATGCCTGCTATAAAAGCACTCTCTATGTACCTCCACACCTGTACTCTCTCATTGATACTCTGTTGCCTGGATCCAGCTGGCAGTTATCTGCTGAGACATCTACTCATAAGCTCAGGAAGCTGACACACCAGCTGGCTCTGCCTATCCACCTTGCATGGCTAGAACAACAAGCTGGGAGCACTATCATTTTCAACCAGAAAATGGAAATTGTGCACATCAACTCAGTTTTTCAACATTTTACAAATGTCACCTTAATAATTTACATGTAAATGAGCTTCAGCAGTCTCATTAAAATGACACTTAGGACAACAATACTTCAAAAAGGAGCACTTATTTTTAAATGCCAAGAAAACAGGATTTTTTTTTCATATTTGATGCAATACTGAGATTTATTAACCTGACCAATGGTTTATTAACTGGAAGAAAAGCAGAAGAGAAATGGAAGCCTGAAAAACAGAACCATTTTCTGGACAAGGCAATTTCCCCCTTCCATTTATCATATCCATAGAAAATTAAAGTAAATAAGTCAGTTCAGGTTAGCTTATCTTTAAAAAAAAATACAATATTAGGTTTGATCTTTCTACTCTCATTTTATCTACTAGCAAAATCAGGAGAACTATTTGCATTTAAATTTATTTCTTGTTTAAAGTGTGTGTGTGTGTGTGTGTGTGTGTGTGTGTGTGTGTGTGTGTGTGTGTGTGTGTGTGTGTGTGAGAGAGAGAGAGAGAGAGACATTTTAAGATGTAAAAACCCATAGTGTTCAGATTTGGCTAACACTTTCCCCTATAATACTCATTTCCTGATAAAGTGAATAGAAAAGTTATTCTTCGTTGTTACAATTATTTGGCATTTGAGGGAATGCAGTGGAGAAGATTAACTAAGTCACTACTGTTAAATGCAAGCCAAGTATTTATCAGATCATATGTTTCTATCCTTTGTGAAGTTAGCCATATTTCCTTTAGAACTGGTAGCCTCATGGACATCTGCAAAATGTGTGGCCTTGGGTCAGTTGCAGGGAATATGAGAACATGTTACAGAATATAACCTTTATAATGCCTGTATTTTATCTACATGCTCAAATTGACTATTGCCTTCATTAAATCAATCTACATGCTTCATGGATTCAGAGGATAAAAATATTTTAAGAGAGATGAAAATCAATTACAAATAGAATATTAAGAGCCTATTTTGTAGCTCAAGTATGACATGCTCTTTTTCTCTGGAAAGAAGAAAATCTGCGTTCCTGCTTATAATTGCAAAAACGTATAAGTAGAAATGTACTACCTCAGAGATGACAAAATTCTTACAATAGAAGCACACCACAGTAGTGACAGTCTAGTTCTGGTTGAAAAACTACTTTCATTATAAACTTCTATTTATAGTGGCACCTTAGAGACTAACAAACAAACAAATTCATGTGTGTGTGTGTGTATATATATATATAAAGAGAGAGAGAGAGAGAGAGAGAGAGAGAGAGAGAAATAATGAGCTGTCATGGGCAAATCCCACTTCTTCAGATGAGCTAGAACGGAAATCATCAGAAGAAGTGGGTTTTGCTCACAAAAGCTCATGATATTATATATAATTTTTGTTAGTCTGTAAGGTGCCACAATTACTTGTTTTTAAAAGTTACAGAGTAACACTGCCACCCTTCTGAGGCTTTCTGTTTTCAGGAGAGTATAAATAAAGTTCCCTGCTTAAAAAAAAATTCACTTCTGGCTCATAAGCACACAGAGACCAAAGGCATAGTTTTCATAAGAAAATTTGCCTGGTTTTGTATTACAGAGATTTGAAAAATAAAAATGTCTCATTCCTAGTTAAAAAACTACAGAAAGTGCACATTCTAATAATTTATCAAGTGACTTTATGTTAAAGGACTGTGGTGCTCATAGCAGTTTGTGTTACCAGGATGTGTGTTTCTTTAAATTTAAAAAAATTGGTAGAAAAATAAAGATACAAGGCAACATTTTCAGAAGTACTCAAGTGACAGTTCAAGTTCTCTTAGGGGTGGATCAACCGCAGTACACACTGATCGTGTCAGGTGTCTGAAAGAATCTATCGCTCTTTATCACTATGCTGTGGGGCTTGTTAGGTTTTTTCCCCTAAAGGATTTATGCAGTCTACCCTCGGGACAATAAGTTCTAGGTAGAGTGCCCTTGATCAGTACCACGTTTTTAGGGCTGCTACAGTACCAGTGATGTTGGGGTTGCGTTAGTGTCCAGCCCTTTTATTTACTCCCTCTTCCCTGTGCCAATCTTGGGAGTAATATGACACACAGGCTGCGGCAGGGATAGAAGTGAAATTAGCAACAAATAAAGTAATACAAGAACTTCAATTTTTCCCATTGCAAGCAGGGGGATCCAGAGAGAGATATTGACAAAAAGGAGGAGACAGGATAGGTGGAAGAGATTGTGGTGAAGAGGTAGATTTTAGAGTAACAAACAACGGAAGCATAAGAGGTCACCAAGGGAAAGTATGTATGGTCTTGAAGGAAACAGAAGCAATGGCAATGGGAAATGTAAATTTTTCTTCATAAAGGGGTTTTAAGTTCGCAAAACAAAGTCATTAGCCCAGTCAAAAATTCCCTCATGACAAGTCTATACGTAGATCCCAAATTGCCCATAACTGAGCAAGTCCTTAGGAATTTTTATCTTTCAGGAAATGACAAGAATTTAGTTCCACAGTGCATATTTTTTTTCAGAATAATGGAACTCACTTGGTTTTGGTTGCAGAACAACCGAAGACAGATTCCTTAGTATGGAAGGAAAATCTATGCTTACAACTAAATAAAAGACTCACCGTTTATTATTTTCAAGTCATCCCTAGCCTCTACATCAGGGCTACTCAACTTTAGAAGCCCCGGTGGCCACAATGATACTCACAGCACATGCCGAGGGCAGCAACTTAAGTGTGGTTGCACATACATGCAAATATATATGCAAGTATATGCAAATAGCTTCTTTCACACTGACGGGCATGAATACAAAGATTAAGGCAAGACTACACAACATGCAGGCCCCATTTAAGTCAGTGCTGCTGATTATTAAAATGCAATACTTACCCGATTTCCACCTACATGACAGCACTTTTAATGAGCAATAACAGTCCAGGAATTTAACTACTAAAACACACATCAACAGAGGACCATTATATTAACTACTTTTTGTTTTGGCTCCTACCCGTGGGCTATGTGTTAAGCCCTGCATAAACCCAAACCAAACCAAGGGCCGTAAACAAACAGACTGCGGGCCGCATGCAGTCCACGTGTCGTGTGTTGAGTAGCCCTGCTCTACATCATACTTGCAGAAACTCTGATAGACACAGCTAGTCACAGAAAGAAACTCTCTCAGCCCAGTACAGGGGCCCTTTAAGATTAGCAGTAAGAGAAGTACTGGAAAAGCCAGAAGACACCCATTTAGCATTAAAAGTCACTGTAAAAACGGTGCATTTTTTGAAGAATGTAACAGAAAAATACCAGATTATAATACTTGTAAATTGACAGGTCCAAATTTGTATTTTTAACCAGGTTTCTCTAAGGATAAACTGAAATTATCCCTTGAAAAATCATTAATTTATTATGCTCTTTAGGAAAACAATAAAGAACCACCTGTCCTCTTTAGGTCTATAGAATCTGATCGATGACTGAGAAAAAGATTATTGTCCAAGACCATTCATTATTCTTTACAACCTGTTTAAGAAAGGACAAGTTCAGGTTATTTTAAATAGGCAGCAGAGTTTGTAAATACCAGCTGTAAAGGCTTCTGCACTCTCAATTCCATTATCTTCTTTCTGTAAATCGTGCAGGAAGGTCCCTACTTTTGTTAACATTGGCTTGATGGTAAACTGACAGCGCTCTTTTCTCGAGGGTAACATAAGGGTTACCAAAGGAAGGCCATATTTGTAAGTGACGGTTACTTCTGGAAAAAAAAAAGGAGAGAAATTGAATCATATGGTAATGTAAAACATTTTTTCACATCTGTTTTTAAAGACAAAAATGTTTAATACAAAAAGACAAATAGCGCTTCTGCATTTGTTAAATGTGGTGTGCTTCACTGCAACACAATGTCTTATACTTTAAACTTCTGGAACATCTTTCATTATCAACAATAATTAAGACCCACCACCCCACAGTGAAACCAGTGTCCTTCCCATTTTAATCCTGGGGCAACTCAAGTACCAAAAGGATAAGCAAATTGCTCCAAGTCACTTAAAAGCCATTGGCATGGGAGGAATAGTAACCCAATCTCCTGACTTCTAGTTCTGTGCAGTAACCCCTCAATGTGGCTGAATGAGAGGTAGTGCACATTTCAATGTTTCTATATGTGTCCATTTCAGACATCTGGAATTGAATGTTCAGTGGATTTAAAAAAAAAAAAAAAAAAAGATGAGAAAACTCACCATCAGATGGCACCAATGTGCCATAGCATGCTGTTTTATGGTGCTTCAGAGATCCAATTTGCCTCAGATGCTGCATCTGAAACAGAGATTTCACAGTTTGAACTTCCTCAGTCCACCACCCTCAGGACCTGACAGGTGCCGAACCAGAGAATTTGCCAAATTTGCCATGGGAGCAGCATTACCAAAACTTCTACTGCTCACTGGACTCTTAGAAGACATTTAAGGGTAAATCAGAGCTAAATAACAGCATAGAACACAGACAGGCCTGGTTTCTGCAAACAAACTTTATGGGACGGCAGGAAATTTGGCCACACCCACGATAACTGGATATTTGGCTAACTAAAATCATTTCGGATCACAGATGTTGCCAGACCAGAGAGTGCTAAACAAGAGAGATTCAACCTGTAGCTTTAAGAGAGGATTAGGATAGAATGCTTCCTTGGTAAGAGGTAGCCCACAGCCCAAAATGGTAACTTACTGCACAGACCGATTGGCAAATGTCTGAAAATCATCTCCTTGAATACAAAGGGCTTTAGAGACCCTGCCTGTTGAACAGAACCATACCGGTTTCAAACAAAAATAGTTTGCTAAACCAGAAAATAGCTGGAAAGGAATAAACAGTGAGGCTACGGCTATACTATACGTTTTGCCAGAAGAGGCAATGCAAATGAAGCACGGATTAGCATTTTCTCGCGCTTCATTTGCATAATCACTTCCAGTCTGTTTTTGCACACAAACAAGCAGTATGGATGTTTCCTTTTTGCCTGGGACGCATAAGGATCTTGCGCAAAAAGGGGGTTGTGAACAAAAAGGAAACATCCATACTGCTTGTTTTTGCGCAAAAACCCCTTGCACAAAAACGCACTGGAAGAGAGTAAGCAAATAAAGCGCAAGAAAATGCTAATCCACACTTCATTTGCATTGCCTCTTCCAGTGAAGTGTGTAGTGTTGCCATAGCCTGAGTGGTTATAACTGGAATCTACTTAATGGAAAAAGGTCGCTATAGATTTGCTCTAGGGTTTGTTTTGTGACTACCCTTGTAAATGTCATATTTAATCAGAATATAAACTTATAACAAAGGCTTGCTGCTGCAAACCATGTTCTAGCAACCAATATGTAGCATCACAACCAGATTCAGAGGCCATGGGACTATTAATTAATTAATTGTCACTATGCTGTTTAATGTACAAAAACATAAGCGATCAGCCTGAGAGGGAAAAGAGCCAGTAGAAAGTAATGACACTTACTCAACAAGACATCATGCAGCAGATTGCCATGGGGCACGAGCCTGAGACCTCGGCAGCGGGACCAGGGCCAGGCTGGCAGCAACACCATTAGACCATGGAAGCATGGGGCCATAGCCCCGGACTGCCTGAGGAAGTGGGGCTAGTGCGGGTTGGGGGAACGGAGCTGGAGCCCTCAGCAGCCCCTGGCAGCCCAATCAGGGCCAGAGTCAGCCCCCAGCAGCACTGGGCTAGAGCCTATGACAGCCCATGGCACTGTGGGCTGCTGGAGCTCAGCAGGCAGCCCAGTCAAGGAGTGGCAGCGGGGCCATTAACCCAGCAGGCAGCCCGGCAGGGGCTGGAGATAGTCCCCCACTCCTCTCCATACCCGGAGCTGGCAGAGCAGGCAGCTGTGAAAAGGAACCTTCTCTAGTCCAGCAAATTCTCTCGTTCAGGATTGGTCAGGTCACAAGGGTACCAGATAAGATGTCCAACCTGTAGTTCACTTTATAGTTGGCTTAATAGGAATAAGTTCTTTGGCACTTGGATGTATTCTTCTTAGAAGATTGTGTATTTTTTGTAACCCACTGGAAAAAAATTCCTTTATACTATATTTATAAAGATTTAAATGAAATTATTTTAATAAGATGAAATGGATATCATTTGGATCTGTTAATTAAGCACTGTTTGAGTGAAACAAAAGGAGTAACCTTCTTTTGCATTTTATATGGTTTCTTTTTCTGCAGACTTTTTTCTGTGCTTCTCATCAGTGCAACAAAATAAATATAAACAAGCCTTGATTATATATTTTTCTTCCCCCCGAAAAACAACCTGTTTATAATCAAAACATAATACTTACACAGAGACAGGAAAAAAAAGGAGGCTATTCAATTGGTTTTATTAGCTTTAGAGAATGAGATAGCAGGGAAAGTTACCCACTAAGAGTGGAGTCATGCTTTAGGGGATAATTTATTAAACTAGAAAATAGCTGGAAAAGGAATGAGTGGCTGTAACGGGTATCTGCTTGATTGAAAGAAGGCACGATAGATTTGCTCTAGGGTTTGTTTTGTGACTACCCTTGTGAATGTCATATTTAATCAGAATATAAACTTACAACAAAGGCTTGCTGCTGCAAACCATGTTCTAGCAACCAATATGTAGCATCACAGCCAGATTCAGAGGCCATGGGAATATTAATTAACCAACTGTCTCCATTTATACACTATGCTGTTTAATGTACAAAAACATAAGAGATAAGCCTGAGAGGTAAAAGAGCCAGTAGATATTAATGACAACTGTACAACAAGACAGTCATGCAGCAGATCAGTCAAGAAAGATTTGCTTGCAAATGCAGGCTAATCATTTGTCATCTGCACAGCTGCAGTACTGAAAGACACAGGTACATCAAAGGAACACAATTCAAATCAAACCAAGTTATTGTTTCAGTGCTAAGCCTAGTTTTTCTGTATGGGGAGGACAAAGAGGTGAGTTAACATCCTCTCACGGCTCAGGATTTAAATTGGGGGTGCCAGATGTAATTTCAAGTATGGAGCTCTGGCCATTAACCTATCCCCTCCAGTGTAAAGCACTGGGCTGTAGCAACTGCAGTTCTAAAAGGTCATGCTGGTACAATAAAAGCTAATATCTTTTCAGACTACTGTCACTGTTTATAAAGAGCCATGAAATCACCACACATTTTAGTAAAAACAAGCAAAGACTCAAAATACATAAATGTCAAAAAAGCCTACAATCCTATTTCACACCTTGTTTTGCGATAGTGTTGCCTCTTCCAAGGAGTTCATCTTTAAGCATGAGGGATTTACTGTATCCTAGATTAGATTGCCAGACACAGTAACAAAAGTTGAAATACATTACATTCTATCATAAGCTTCTCTTAGCTTAACCAAGTATCATATCTTCTGGTTTTAGCGTAACAAAACTATTTTAGGCTGTGTCTACAACACTAACACAAGTGAGTTAAAGGACCCACTTACAAGACTCTTGCAGTGTGTGTCTAACTATGTTCTGTCATCAGTCAAAAACTTGACTGATTGATTAATCCAATTACAAAACACTTAACTGACTTAGCAACACTACACATTAGTGACATAAAGGTCAGCCATATTAGGAAGAGATCCCTTGACACAGTTCAAGCCCTCAGGGTGAGAATCAGAAAGACCAACCCATTCTTTTGTTGACATCCTCCAAGAATTCCAATAGATTAAAATATTCCAATACATTAATACATTTTCCTTTACAGAAACCATGCAGGCTTGTCACTATTACAGCTGTTCCATCTGGACATTATAATTGTCTCTTTACTTACTGTGTTAGTCAATATGTCTGGTCCTAAAACCCACAGATCACTAGTTTTGAAGATAACCCTTAAATTTTTTTATTAAATATTTATCGACAGAGACTACTTCTGTTACCAGTCAAGAGAACAGTGGATATTGATGCAAGACAGCACATTTTTTATAACAATCCAGTCACTTCAGAACTCAGGTGTTTGCAGTTTGACACTTATTGCTAATTAATGTATCAACTTGTTTTAAACCTCCTCTTTTGACATCTTAATCAGACAATTTTTCATCTTTATTACTTAAAAAGGGTGGTTTTGGTAAGTCTCTCTCCAGCATCCTCTTTGATGAAGACTGATGAAAAGAAATCATTTAGCTACTCTACATTTTACATTATTACCCTCAATTATTCCCCTTTACCTACCCCATGGCCGAACACACTGAATCTCCAATAGGCTTCCTACTTCCCATATCCTTAAATAATTGATCTGTCAACATTTTAGTTTATTTGTTCTTCAGATTAATCCTCTCTCCCCACTCCCAGTTTCATGTTACATTTTACCTGCTATAGTTTATATTCATTTCTGTTGACTTTACTTGGGCTGGATTTCCATTTGTTAAAGGATACCCAATTGATTAAAATTATGACTTGATGCTTGGCTATTTCACAATACCAATTGTGATTTGCCGCCTTACTTTCTTTTTCATTTAGGAGTCTGAATGCTTTCCTGATGGTGTCCTTAAACAGCTTTCAGACTGGGTTTTAATTGCCTTGTTCTTGACTGTAAAATACCTTTGATAAGTTTTCTAATTTATTGATTGCAAAGCTCTATGTAATGTTATGTTTAATATTACAGCAATAGTTCCGGATACAGTTCCTTCTCTGAGAATGCTGAGTTTGTTTGTAATGTAGTCATTATTGCTTAGAACCTCAATTATAATTATTTACTTGAGCCAGCTCCTTTGTGTCACTTAGTGCTGTGTTGAAAAGAGCCTGTCTTCCTGTGTGCTCCACAATTAGCTGTTCCAAGAAACAACGAAGCTGTTAAAAAAACTGCTTCTTCAAACCTGGTCTCCAGATTTACATTTGACTAGTTTAGATTTAGGTAAGCTGAAGTCATCTCTCATTAAGGCTTGATCTCCCTAAAACATGACACACTCAACTTTAGAGCTAGCTAGGAAACAGGGTTTCTATTCCCCAAGGAAATTCTGACATTTCTGCACACACTCACTCACACATACAAAAAATAAATTCTGAATCTGAATGAAAAGTTTGGAATTTCTTGTTTAACAAAAAGTCCAAAAAGTTTTGACTTGCAACTATGTTGCCATGACCAGAACAAAATGTTTCAAATAGTTTCACTTAGGTAAGTGTATTGTTTCAATAAAGTCAAACTCTGTTTCAATTTGATCTTTTAGAGTCATTCTGTTTAGATTATTATATATTAAAACATTTTAATATGTTTATATAGGATTTAATTTCAATGTAGAAGTCGAAATGAACTGAAATGACATCAAAATAAATGAGAAAGTTGAAAGAATTCACTTTGTCCTTTTTCCCCATTGAAAATTTTGGGTAAGTCCATATGTTCCAAATACATGTTGTTGTTTTTTCCTATGAGACTGCATCTT